ATTTAAAATAAAAAATATATTTATTTTTTCGATCATGAAAGTTTAGACAAACTTTATGACATCATATTTATAAGTAAATTATGTTACACTCGATTATAGATGTACTAAATGATTTGGAGTGGTCTAATCCTCCTTAGACCAAAAGTTAATATGGAGTAATAATAATAATAATAATAAATACTAGGAAAAGAGAAGAAATAAGAGAATAAGATCGTAAGTGCTCACGTCCATAGGATTTTCGTTGGGCCCCACCATTCACTGCCTCTGTGCTTTGCCACCTCACGGAGGCGAAGTAATATGGAGGGGCCCATGGGTTAGACGTAAGCAATGGTTTATAATTTTTATATAAAAAATTATAATATCGGCGCCATCTGTCATTATTTTTATCTAAGTCTATTTTTTATTATTATCACTAAGGTTAATAATTTAGCTTCGTGCAATACTCTCGTTAATCCCATATAAAAAATAGATAAAATTAAGATAAACTTATGAATATACGATTAGTGTATTATTATAATTTTAATTAAATATTTTGTTTAATAGTTTAGATCAAACGGAACTTATATGTTAGTAATGTTAAGATATTTGATATTAAAATCTATTTAATATTAAGACATTATGAGCTCGAATAAAAAAAGATTATCAACTATCGATTACGGTATTAATAATTTAATCAGTGATTTAAATCTGATAGATTCCAAGTGACATTGCAGTGACGACAATAAGAATTTTAATGGACGTTAATTTTAAAAATTAAAAAAAAATTAGAGGGCCTAATAAAATATTACATAAATTTAAAGGAATAATGATTTATGACTAAATTAATAAGTTTTACTTTTATGGGTTACAATAAAAGCAGAAAAATATTGTTATAAAACCTATTACTAAATAATAATATACTATATGAGAGGGAGATTTAAGTGTACGAATTTATTTTCTTGATATTCCCTCTTGATTATAATTTGAATGATTCTCTCGCATTAGAATATTTCTTTTTCGAAGAACAAAAAAATCAATTTAATGACTTAATGTAAGGAAGATAATTCATAAAATAATAATTCATTTAATGAAGGTCACTTCATTAATTCAATTATTATTCGATGAACGTAATTTGTCATGTATTATTATTATTATTGCGAATGTTTTGTTTGGGTTGAGGAGAGTGTCATATAAAAACAATTATTTTTTGTGTAATTCATTTTATAGGAAAAAAAACGTAATTAAAGGGGAGGAAATTTCAAATCGAGGACGTGGCGCCTGACGATTCGCCCTCGCTCGGGACGCCGTAGCGGGAGCGCCGCAGCGGATCGTGCGGGCATTTAGCCTTCCAAGAGCCCCTGGCTACGCGTCACCAGCGCGCGGGGCCCACCTGGGGCCCCTCCGTCGCCCTATTTAAACCGCCACGCCGGTCGTCGTTGTCTTTCTGGAGTTCTATTTCCCTTCCGGTCGTCCGACGCGCTCGCGATCTCTGAATCAAGATCGCAGGTGACTGCTTCGTCTTCCTGGAGTTCTATTTCCCTTCTGGTCGTCTAGGAATTCAGTAGCTGTGTTCGATTCGGAGCAGGGCTATGGTTGTCTAAAATTCTCTCTTTCGGATCTTCTTACGAAGGTCAAACGTCGCCGCTTGTGTAAATATTCTTCTTCTTTTTTTGGTTTTTAGGAACTTGTAGGCTGGAGGTTATGGCAACCATCTCCGATTTTCATCTCAATCGGGTTCCTTGTCCGGGAAGCCCTTGTGCGAATTCTGTGACGGAGTGTAGTGGTGCTCGGAGGAAGAGAGAGGTTAGGTTTAGAGCGTTGGGAAATTCGGAGGGGTTGGGGTTTCTTGTGCAGAATGGGGCGAGGAAGTCTCGAGGGTTGTGTTGGAACGCCCGCGGGTCCAGAAGAGCGAAGAGGATGGTTGTCGCTGCGAGCCCTCCTACCGACGACGGGGTGGTTGTCACGGAGCCGTTGATGAAAGAGGACCTTGTTGGTTACCTCAATTCTGGTTGTAAGCCGAAGGAGATGTGGAGGTATGTTCCTCAGCTTCTGTTACTGAAATCTCTGGTTTTCCCTGCTTAATTTTTAGCTTTTTTCTCAGTTATAGATTAGACATACTGCTGCTGATAGTGCGTTTGAGATGCGTAGCCTCGTCGGGATATTTGCAAATGCGATTTTTTTTCTTCTTCTGTGATGATCTGTTTGCACAATTTTTCTTATTAAAATTTCACCTGGTATTTCTCTTGCTGAAAGCTTGGGTTATGTCCAGATTCGTAGTGTTTATAATATGTTCTATGCGATGCTCTCTACAAATGAACTATTACTGATTTGTAACTTGATTATGATGCACTCTACCAATGAATTCTTAATTATCTGTACGTGATCTGGATACTCTCTTAATTATATGTTCTGTTGCTTGGGTCAAACTTACTTAACCCAACTGTTTATGGAGGATCAAGTATTATAAATCCCATTCTTTTTTTTCACTGTAAAAAATTGCTTGGTATAACAACTTTACCAAAACACAGTGTGTAAGCTAAAACTTTTATGTGGAAATTGCAGGGAAAATTAATTTACCCAAAAACTTGTCGTTGTACTTGAGAATTTCCATTATAGCTGTATGTTTTGAGTATATAGAGCACATTGGAATGGAGCATAGAGAATTAGATATTGCACTGTTCAGAGTGCCAGAAGCATGTTTTTTACGTGGAGCATGAGAATGGTCAAAGATACTTCCATCTGGCTTCTTTTTGCTAATGGGTCTCAAATATTTTGATCGTGTGTTATCCTATTTAATGATAAAGAAAAGGGGAAAATAAGCATTTCTTTATAATTCTTGTTAGTTTGTTTTAGTTCTGTGTCTGCTGCTAAATTTAAAGTTCTGATGAGCCACTCTGAGTAACAACTCCTTTTTTTATTAACTTTAGAGCTTCTTGATTATGAATTTGATCTTTTGCTATAATATCTTTGGTTTATGATTGTGTTGTTCATAGTTGATGTTCAAGGTATTATGTTGTTCATATTGGTCATATAGTTGTGACTGCTGCATCCCTTTTGTTGACAGAGGAGCACATTCTTTTTTGAAAATGTTATTTTTATTTTCAGTAGCTGGGAACTTTTGTTGACAGAGGAGCACTTTTGTTGTAACAGAATTGGCACTGAACATGAAAAGTTTGGTTTTGAGGTTGGAAGTTTACGCCCAATGAAGTATGAACAGATCGCAGACTTGCTCAATGGTTTAGCAGAGAGATTTGATTGGGATAAAATTATGGAAGGTGATTATATTATTGGTCTCAAGCAGGTAAAAAAAGGATTCTTTCTTTACATCAAGAAAGACTGTGTTACCAATGGTAACCTTGTTGTCTCTGCATCCAATCATCTGACTCATTGCAGCAATGACAATTGTTCTTATAGTACCCTGTCATTTGCCTTGTTTCAACTGCAAAGATTTGTCTATTGTATAATACGGTGCTCCACCTTGTATTTTCTTAAACATGTTAAATGGAAGGTCTTGGCTTATTGTTCAGGGAAAGCAAAGCATTTCATTGGAGCCTGGTGGTCAATTTGAGCTTAGTGGTGCACCACTTGAAACACTGCATCAAACTTGTGCTGAGGTTAATTCACACCTTTATCAGGTTTGTATGTAATGATATTATTTGTTTCTTATCTAGTGTTATTTTGTATAAATATCTTTATAAAGGTGCTAGAAACAAAAGATAACTTAATTTTTGTTTCTGAAAATGTTGAAATTATCAGATGTATCTCTTTGACGTGTTCAAAGAGTCAAATATCCATCTAAAATTAAAGAACTACAATGAATTGATCTGTCAATTTTCGTATATATTCTTGAAAAAGGTTATTCATGATTATTTGAGGACATGAACTCATTTTGACATTTGAATGGCTAATTCCAGAATAATCCAATTTGAAGGGCATCTGGCAATTTTCCTAGAAGTAACCTCGTCTATTAACATCAAGCTCTAGTGTTGATTCATCACCGTTGTTGATAGCATACTCAAAGTATCGTCCACTAAATATTTTTTTGAAGTATGCACAGGTGTCATTGAACTAAATTTAAACCTCAAAATTTTATCATTCATGTCTCACAAGCTCTGTTTGCTCATCTTAAGAACGGGAATAACTACGATTAAATTCAAAACATGGTTTATGTGTTTTTTGTATCTTAGTTTGGTTTGTTGATGCTAAATAGGTAAAAGCAGTGGCAGAGGAATTGGGTCTTGGATTTTTAGGCATTGGTTTTCATCCCAAATGGAGGTTGAGTGACATTCCTGTAATGCCAAAGGTATCTGTTTTCTCTTGGTTTATGTGAAATGTTTTTTAGAAGAGACTGCCAGCTAGCAGGTGTATGTATCTTGGTTCCAATTGCTCAAGTCAGGCTCTAATATTTTAGCCATGCCACTGTTTTTTGGTTACTTTCTAGTTTGTTAATGCTCTATGTATGCAGTAAACTCTATACAAATTGATAATTTTGGAAAACTGTTGGCATTTCCTTATAATTTGTATGTTACCATGCTAACATTCCTATACAATTTGATAATGTTGGAAAACCGTTGGCGTTCCAGTACAATATCACTTTTGTGATTCTATGATTTAATACTGTTATGGCTTCATGTTTCCTTCTATTTTCTATGTGAACATTAAAGTTTTGGGATATGTTTAGTATGATAAGTAAATCTTGGATATTATTAACCTTGTTTAAAGATAGTATCATAAGTTTAATAATGAAATCATCTCATGTACTGTTAGTAAATAATTGTCTTAATCAAGGTTTTAATTTTTAAATATAGGTCTAGGTTCGATGCTAGTCAGTATTTAATCTTTTTTTTTTTGGTGATATCAGGCAGTAGAGGTTGGTATACTGCCTTCTATATTAGTACTGTACCAGTTTCATTGGTTGTCAAAGCCGGTACCAGACCGGTATTTGAGATATTGGTTCTAATTTCATACTCTTTTAACATATCGATAAACTTCCAATATTTATAATGAATGATTGTTGTCCTCGTTTATTTTCTTCTAATATACTTTTATTTTTTTCTGTTGTTTTGCACTTATATTTTCCCTAGATTGAAAGCCTTACAGTTACTACTACTCATTTGACTGTAATATCCAGGTTTCCATTTTTTATAATTAGCAATCTTGGCATGGGATAATATGCTTCTCAAAACATGTTCATGGATATTCTTCAGTTAGTTTCTTAGGTTCTTTAAGTTAATAGGCTTTCTAAGATAATGCTTTTCACAGGGAAGATATGAGATTATGAGGAACTACATGCCTAAAGTTGGTTCTCTTGGACTTGATATGATGTTTCGGACTTGTACAGTTCAGGTGAAGTTGCAATTTTTTGTTGGAACTAGACTACAGCTCTTCCTTGTCTATCGAAACTTCCACATTATAAAACTTTCTTTCTTCATGTGCTGAACACCAAAATGTACTTGCAGAGGTTAGAATAGAGATTACATGCCAGATTACCATTGAGAACTGTGAGACACTGACACAAATTTTTACTTACAGGTTAATCTTGACTTCAGTTCTGAATCAGATATGATTAAGAAATTTCGTGCTGGTCTTGCTTTGCAGCCTGTGGGTACTAATTTTCTGCCATGTAAAATTTTTCTGCTAGTTGGCTCTTCAGCTACTGACTGATTCCTGAACCAGATTGCGACAGCAATATTTGCAAATTCGCCTTTCACTGAAGGAAAGCCAAATGGTTTTCTGAGCATGAGAAGGTTTCTCTCAACATTATCTGTTTCCTGCTTTATATTTTTTACTATTTGGCAATGACATTAATTGTCATTTATTTCTGCATTGCAGCCACATATGGACTGACACTGACAATAATCGTGCGGGAATGTTGCCTTTTGTATTTGATGATTCTTTTGGGTACGAGAATGTTGGCGTTTAGCTTCTATGACAAAATAACTCCATGTCATGGTTATTGGAAATTTTTTTTTAAATTATGATTTTCTTATTGAATTGACTATGTGCTTGACTTTGACTACTGTAGCCATCTTGTATGTGTTTTTTTTTTCCAGATTTGAGCAATATGTGGAGTATGCTCTTGATGTTCCTATGTACTTTGTCTACCGAAAAAGGACGTATATCGATTGTACTGGAATGTCCTTCAGGGTTTCCTTCTACACTTGTTCTTTTATATTTGATTTTCATATCTTTAGTAGACAACTTTTGAAGTTCAGATGCAGGATTAAATGTTTTCTAGCTTATGGTTTTGAACTTTCTGTTTGAGAACCAATGATTACATGCATATCTGCAGGATTTTATGCGAGGAAAACTTCCTTCACTTCCTGGGGAGCTTCCAACTCTGAATGATTGGGAGAATCATCTAACAACCATATTCCCTGAGGTATCTATGCCATTAGTGATTTCATTGTGGTTGAATGTGTAAACTCGCCTGAACGAATATTAAATAGTAGTTATTTACACTTCTGTACAGGTCAGATTAAAAAGGTACCTGGAAATGAGGGGTGCTGATGGTGGTCCTTGGAGGAGGCTATGTGCTTTGCCAGCATTTTGGGTATCAGTATTCTACATGTATTTCTAAGATAGTCCATATTTTTTGAATATGTGATGTGCTGACTATTCTGGATCCTTAACATGAATTCTATCGATTACCTTGTTACTTCTTTTCATTGTTAGTGGTTCTGATTGTCTTATTTGCAGGTAGGCTTATTGTATGATGAGGTTTCTTTACAGAATGTTTCAGAAATGATCTCTGATTGGACAAGAGAAGAAAGAGAGATGCTACGCAAGAAGGTACTCAATTATCCTACAATATTACCATTTACTAGATGAAGTCTGCTGCAAGTTAATTATTGTTAGAATTTCTTCTTAACTCCCAGTCTCTTCTAAATTTTTTGATTAGTAGATGACTTTATGGTTTTCAGGATGCTAAATATCAATGTATGCCAAATGTAGGTTCTTATTACATTCTGCACAAGGAATCGTCTTATGCATGATACAGTCTATTGTTATGAGAGAATTTATGATAACCGTGAAATGAACAGGTCCCTGTGACTGGATTGAAGACACCGTTCCGGGGTGGCCTGTTAAGACATGTTGCTGAAGATGTTCTGAAGTTAGCTAAAGTTACGTCATTATTCAGTAGTACTGGATGCATGGAAATACACTCATTATGAGGCTATGAAGTTTACCAATCATTCTTTCTGATGTTGCAGGATGGACTGGAGAGAAGAGGATATAAAGAAGCTGGGTTCTTAAAAGAAGTCACTGAGACAGTCCAAACAGGTATCATTTTTTGCAAGTTGTCTATTACTCATTAATGCATTATTCTATCGACTCTAATTCAGAATATGATACAGATTGAACTGGATAAGCAATTTGTGAATCCTGGCATGCACATATGTTAAGTATCATTTCATCTGTTCCCACTAAGAATGATTGAAAAAAAAACATTTTTTAAATTACCTAATGATTGAACATTACCGAAAGGTAATAATTGTCTGTCAATGCAAATCAAGTTGCCACAAATAAAAAGACAAAATCCAATTCCATTGTACATATGTAGTGAAAGGTGACCTTGCCAGTGATGTTTTTTACTTTTAGATAAAATTAAGGCAAGAAAGATGTGAGATATGTCATAGTGATTTAAATTTTAAACTGTGAAATATTAGTTTTCCAGAAAAACAGAAGGAAAAAAGATTTCTTTGGTTTCAGTACACGGAATGGTGCATTATATTCATTTTATAACCTATTTTAGCAATAAGTAAAAGTCATAGATGCTAGCCACAGCCTGTTTGTTGTTTATAATAATAAGATGAATGTAGAAAATTTATTGACATTTTCATGCTGGGTGATGTGGCCTAGTCATAATCCATGCAACCATGAGACCGCTTCAGCATGTTGAGACACGTGTGAATGCACACTGCTGTTAGTGTTACATGCCACCGTTTCAAACAGTTTTGTTTAAGCATCTGCACCTGTGGTATTCATGAATATTTTCTTATTCACTTATTGTGCACGATCAATCGTATAACAGGAGTGACTCCAGCTGAGAAACTTCTGGAGTTGTACAATGGGAAGTGGGGAGGCAGGGTTGGTCCAGTTTTTCAGGAATTGTTGTATTGAGGTACCTGTAAGTTTGATATCAGGTGCATTCACGTTCTACCGTGATCCAATATTTCAACCTGGAACAATTTCAGAGACCATCATGGTCATACTCAGGTTGGTGCATTCTTCATCCACATGTCGAGGATCGGCCATTGCCTGGTTAAATGGCTTGGCAGAGCTTCAGTTGTAGGAGAGAGAATTGTACTCCGACAAACCTTTGATTTTGTGGTCATCTTTTGTGATGAAGTTTCCCTGCTTTCCATTTGATTACCCAATGATACAAAGGTAATAACACCGGATTTCCATGTACACAGGAAACTTGAGATCACATGATATGGATGACCATCATTATAGATGATTAAGGGCTGAAATCTTATAGTCATGGTTTGGTCGGTTTTGATGTATTTATTCTATTATTGAACCAAGGCTACTCATATGTTTACAACTTTGTATTACATGCAGCCATACATAATCTCTCAAATGCTCTCCGAAATGTCCAAGAGGAACTACTGTTCTTGTTGAAGCAGAACAATTAGACGAGTAGATACCGAGAAGCTTTTCTTGTATTGAAATATACCTTTTTCCTGTCAACAAGGATGATTTGTCTGTCCATGTGCAATCTCCTACTGTTGTTGGTTGCCTGTGGAGATGCTGACAGCTTATGAAGCGAATACTGTGTGGTTTTACAGGTATCATAAAATATTTAGATATTAATATAAGTTGTTCATATCGAGTTAATTCTTTTCCTATCATAAAATATTTAGATATTAATATGAGAATTTATTGATGTCATGTGAATGGAGGCGGAATATTGATATCACGTGAATGGAGGCGGATGCCAAAGGGTGTTGTTTCGTTCGTTCGTTCCTTCCTTCGGCCACCATATCACGAGGGCGGCTGAGATGAATTCTTCTATGGATCTTCTTCACATTCCACAACACTTGGCTACTAACTTCATGCCTCTCATTCGTTCCCAAGAAAAGAACAAAATGGTTCATATCATACAGACTTTATACCTCTCATCCATTCCCAAGGTTCATCAATCACAGAGCCACGGAACAAAAAAGAAAGAATCCGTGTGTGCGGCCCTAATGAGAAAAGCATGGAGCATTTCTACTCATTGCACATGTTCTTTCCCCACTTCTCTCCAAAGGAGACTGGAATTCGCATCTTGTTCATCCACCTTTCTTGATCTGATTCGTGTAGTACATAGTAGGCTCATGGTTGCGGCATTTCCACGGGATTGATTACCCCACCCACTGCCATCATCATCCATCTTTTTCCCTGCTTTTATTTGAAAATTAGTAGCTTTGTTCTCTTCTTTCTTTTTTCCTTTTTTTGCTAAAAAAAAATTAATAGCTCTCTAATTTAAATTTATCCACTCAAAAAGGACATCAAACACAAGTTCAAAAAGATAAGATCCACATACCATAATAAAATCTTCACCAGTTACACTAAGGTTATACTTTCAAAAATTTTCGGATAATGATTAAGTGATTTTATAGATCATGTTTAAATTAATATTTTATCGAATGATATTTTTATTTTTATTATTTTATTTTTATTTTTTAATAGAATTTATAATATCACTTTTGTGAAATTGATGGCTTCCCATATCCTCCTCCTCCTCCTCCTCTGATCCACATGACCTCTGTCAATGGCTCTGTGTTTACCATCCAGTAATCCACAGTCACACTCACCCCAAACTGGATTTGGCCTCATCCTCACATTATAAAGTGTGTGTGGATCAGCTAAAGTCTCAGAACAAGAAAGGAACCTTCTTCGTCTGCTTCCCTCATGGCCTCCCCTGGCATTAGCAGAGGTGGACTGTTTTCGGGCTTTCTCCTCTGTTTCCTTGTGCTGCAAGCCTTGGCGGGCGCTTCGGGGATAGTCATCGGCCTACGGCGGCACCAGGGCGGCGCGCAGAGGCGGCGGCCCACCGACCAAACAGCGTGCGACCTGTTCGCCGGGAGCTGGGTGAGGGACGACTCCTACCCGCTATACCAGTCGCTGAGCTGCCCCATCATCGATCCCGAGTTCAACTGCCAGTTATATGGACGGCCGGACACCGAGTACCAGCGGTACCGATGGCAGCCGAGCGGATGCGAGCTCCCCAGGTATGTGGGCTTGCCTGCTCCGATGCGTTCTACGCTCTGAGCTCGTTCATCAACGATGGCTGGCGGACCTGCAGGTTTGACGGGGTTGGTTTCTTGGCGACAATGAGGGGGAAGACGGTGATGTTCGTGGGCGACTCGCTCGGGCGGAACCAGTGGCAGTCCTTAATCTGCATGCTCGCCGCCGCGGCGCCGCAGTCGCAGACCCAGTTCGTCAGAGGAGAGCCTCTCTCCACCTACAAGTTCCTGGTTGGTTCGCTTTCCGCCTTCGTAAGATCTTGTCACCCTCAAGCTGTTCGATCCAACGACGAACCTCTGTGGTTGCTGCAGGATTCTGGAGTCTCGGTTTCCTTCTACCGGGCACCTTATCTGGTGGACATCGACGTGGTGCAAGGGAGAAGAATCCTCATGCTGAACGAGATAACAGGGAATGCCGAAGCATGGAGAGGAGCGGACGTCTTGTGCTTCAACTCCGGCCACTGGTGGACTCACAAGGGAGCTCTTCAAGGGTGCAACTCCTGCCTCATCTTCGTGCTTGTTTGCTGCGATTTGGTCGAGCATAAGAAGGACAAGCTTTGCAGGTGGGATTACATGGGAGATGCAGGCTCTTTCTACGAGGACATGGATCGATTGGTCGCGTTCCAGAAAGGGATGAGCACATGGGCAAACTGGGTCGACGCTACCGTCGACAGGACCAAGACGAAGGTCTTCTTCCAGTCCATATCTCCCACCCACTACAAGTAACTCTCTCTCTCCTCCCCTTGCTATATTTCTCTTAATTCCTCGCTCGAGTTAGTAGGAGGAGCACACATTCATGGCATAGCACCCATTCATGGCATATCACCCGACGTAAGAATCCACTATCAACATTCCCATACAAGATGCAATCAGAGCTTTTCTGCAGAACCAGTATCCATGGTGGATTGCCCTGTTCTAGAACTGCAGTATTTAGTGATTTGGAAAACTTCTTTGTATCCTTGATTTTTGGGTTTACATGATCTACCATTATGGCGAAACGAACATGTCCTGGAGAACTTCTTTCTGGACATGGATGAGCTGCTGCTCTTGAATAGAGAGAGAGAGAGAGAGAGAGAGAGAGAGAGAGAGAGAGAGAGAGAGAGAGAGAGAGAGAGAGAGAGTAGAGTAGTAG